ATCATATATATATATATATATATATAAACTCACACATACACACCCAATTTTCTCTCTATTTATTTTATTATACTAAATCATTTGTGAAAAACATGGTGCACTACCTGTGGTTTCAGGCACAGTGGAATAGGTATTCAACAATTCATTCTCTGCTCATTAAGTGGTTACATGAATGTAAGAAAAGAAGTGAGCAAACATGTGTTCCAAGTGCTTGTATTTTACTGCAACAGGAATGGCTGTCATGAACTTGTCCAATCACTTCACTAAGCAACAAGATGGCAACCTGTTACTGTACATTTGCTCAATGAAGCAGTCTTTAACATGTTGTATTTTGAGGGTGGGAAAAGTAATGAACCTATTTAAAGCTTAAAAGTTGTTGCTGCTTGGTTCTTTAAACATGAGGAAATCTTTCAATCATCAACTCTGGTCTCAAACAATGGCTACATATTGGTGAGTCCGAACCAGATAAAAGAAAACGATGAGTTAAAAAACTGTGACCAATGCATAGTCGTGCCAAAACAACTTCCTTCTTACGATTTTTATGAAAACAAGAAGGCCAAAGAGAAACCGTAGGTTTGATCTGGAAAAGTTTGTCATGACATTGTTCATCTCAAGCTGACTGCCAACTGGTGCAAAGCTGAGCCTTGAATACAAGACCATAGTCCATGTGTAGAACAGGCATAGCCGTGATGTCACCAGAGCAGACAGACTTAGCTGCAGTGTCAGTGAGCTTGTTCCCACAAATACCGACATAACCAGGTATCCAGAAAAAGTAAATAGAAATGAAAGATAAAGAAAAATGGGCCAGTCGATGGAGAATATCAACAAGAATAGGGTGAGAACTAACATTAAGCAATTCCAGGGCCAGTAGAGAGCTGAGAGAGTCAATGTAAATAGTACAATCAGTGTACTGCTCATCTTCTACAAGATCCAGAGCAAGAGAAATGGCATACAACTCGGCAGTGAACACAGAAATTGCAGAGGAGATTCTATGAGCAACCATCGAGCCAGAACAGACAAAGGAAAAAACCCACACAGTCACCTGATTTTGAACCATCTGTATAAATGGATACAGAAGAATGTTTCAAAAGATGTTCAGCAAAGAGAAGATGGTACTTCCAATCGGGAGTATCTGCCTTCCTCAGTTGACTTAAAGAGAGATCACAGTGGGGGATGGTGACAAGCCATGGCAGAATGGGCTGATCATTGGGGACAGCAATGTCATCCAAAGGCAGATCCAATTCTGCCAGCTCCTCATGGATGCAAAGGCCAAAAGTAGGAATAGAAGACCATCTGTGATGAAAGAGCATAGTCCATTGAGGAGGAAGACCCAACCCTATATGGGAAGCTGTGGCAAGGATTGAAGCTTGATAGCATATTGCAGAGAAAGATGCAAACAGAGGAGGTGAAGAGATGGTTCATGTGCCTCAGTGTACAGACTCTGGACCAGAGAAATGCAGAAAGCCCCATTGTAGTGCCAAAGCACCTGATGGTGAATGGGGTCCAGCAACTTCAAGGCAGAGATCCTGGCTGAACCATAGACCCATAATCCAGTTTAGATTGTATGAAGGCATGATAGATCTTTAGCATAGAGGACATGGAGGGTGTTCAGTGCCTTTGTGCACTTGACATGTAGCTGCTTAATGTGTGATATGAAAGTGAGCTTATGATAAAAGATTAGTCCCAGAAACTTGGCCTCGGGAACCATGGGAAGAGCAACATTACCAAGACAGAGCTCAGGATCAGGGTGCAAGCCCTGTTGGCGGAAAAAGTGCATGCCGTGGTCCACTCGATTGAGAGCAGTCTGAAGCTGCCACTCAATAAACCTCATGTTTAACGACCAACATGAGATGGAGTTGGTGAGTAATAGCATTAATTTTGATACTAAAAAGTGTGACACTCAAGACACTCCAAGTTCCTATGTGAAAGAACGAAAGATGGTTGAACCCACACAAATCTGGTCAAGTTACTAATAAATGGGCAAATGGCCACTCAACCCATGTCCCACAAAATGCCGAACCTCCATGTAGTGTCATAGGCCTTCTCAAAATAACAAAAAGACAGAAAAAAGATGTTCTCTCTTGAGGAAGGCTTCTCTGATTGAGGTTTCAAGGCAAATCAGATAGTCCACGGTGGAGGGCTATCGACAGAAACCACACTAGGTAGGTGAGAGAAGGTTGTTTGATTCCGGGAACCAAAGGAGATGTGCATTAACTATTCTCTCCAAAACCTTACAGAGACAGCTAGTCAAAGCAATTGGATGATAGTTAGAAGGAATCTTGGGATCCTTCCCAGGCCCAGAAAAAGGTAGAACAACAGCCTGGCACCAAGCATCTGGAAAAACGTGCTCTTGCTAGATCTGGTTAAAAAGTATCAGAAGAATAGTAAGAGAGGCAGGAGAAAGATGGCGCAGAAGTGCTTGAGTAATAGGAGAAAGACTCTCCAAGAGCATTAGCGATGCCTCATATATCAGCAATTTCCTGGCCATCAGAGAGCAGGATGGAAAGGGGATGGGAAGCATAATTCCCACTGACTTTCCGATTCTTCTCCCAGATGACTTTGGAACTGGTGGTAAAAGAGATGCTGGAGGTGAAGTTAATCCAAGATTCCTTCTGGCTTTGATGCCTGACCTGCTGAGCATGGGCTCGGGCCCTCTGATAAAGTATGCAGTTAGAAAGAGAGGGATGCCGTAGGAAGATATCCCAGGCCCATTTTTGAGCCTTCCGTGCCCATTGGCCAGCAGGATTCCACCATGGACGAGGATACTGTGGAAAAGGTGTCGAAGTTTTCTGAAAAGAATGAGCAGCTTCCTCTATGATAAAATCAGTCACTGCTTCTACACAGTCATCTATAGGTGGCAGACAGACAATGGCAGGATCAAGTTCTGAGAGAGCAGTGAAAGAGGACCAGTCAGCTTTGTCCAACTTCCACCCTGGCACTCTGGTCGGGTGGCATCGACCATGTCCAACCTCTCTCAAAATGATGTGAAAATGATCACTGTCCTGTTGGTCACTGTCAATTTTCCAAAAAAATTAGAGAAAAGTGAAGAAGAACAGACAGATTGATAGCAGTAAAATACTGACTGGGTGCATGAAAGTAAGTAAAAGCACCAGTGTTAAAGAGAGACAAGTCGTGATCAGAGAGCAAACATTCTATGGAATGACCCCTGCCATCAACATCGGCACCATCGCAAAGGGGATTGTGCCCATTAGAGTCACCCAGAAGGAAGAAGGGAGACGGCAACTGTTTGACAAAAGCATCAAAGTCTGATTGATTGTGGGTCTCTCCAGGAGACAGGTAGATGGAACAAACAGTGATGGTACAACCCAAAGAAATCCTGATGGCATCTGCTTCCAAGGGTGTATATAGTGGCACAGACAAGGTAGGCACATGCTAGAGACGGGAGTAGACTCGCTTATCCATAGAGGGCAAAAGACTCTTCAGATGCTGTGAAAATAATTCTGTTGGAGGCACGGAAAGTTCTGTAGCAGTGGAACATAGTGCAGCAGCATAAGTCCGAGATGCAGTTGTGGAAAAGAAATATTGTTCACAGTTTGCAGATGCTGTACCTCTTTCTCCTACACCCATTTAGGGCAAGATTGGAAGTATGAAAGGTGGGAAACCTCACAGTTCACACAGCAAGGGTCCAGCTCACACTCGTAGGCATCATGGTCTTTGCCACCACAACGAGCACGTGTTAAAGAACAACGACAGGATGCCTTTGAGTGTCCAAACCACTGGCACTGTAAGCATCTGAGAGGGTTGGGAATATATGGCCATATCCAACAGTTTAGATATCCTGCCTTGACTGAAGCAGGTGGATGTGGAGATGTAATCGTCAGTATAAGAACATTGGTCAGCACCATAATTCCATCTTGACGAGTGAGGATCCTTCGACCTGCTGAAACTCCTTGGCTGGAGAAACCAGCGAGGATCTCTGACTCAGGTATGTTCTTCAAGTCCCTCTCAACAATGACTCCTCATGAGGAATTCAAAGAAGCATGGGGAGTAACCTCAATTGGTATATCCCCAATGGTCTTGGAATTCAGAAGAAGTTCACTAATTTTAGCTGTGAATGTTTCCACCAAGATGTCTCCAGAACGAAGCTTCTTAACTGACTTTGGAGTGCCCACTGATCCCACCTATCCATGAAGTCCTATGAGGGGATGCATTACAATGTCAAACTAGGACACTACAACAACACCAGGGCTTCGTGAGCACTATACCCAAACACCAGCATCAGACACAATGTTCACAACACCCGTTGATAATTCCCAACACTGCCCATTGATCCTGAGGGGGCCACCCGTCTACAGGAATTCAAGGCCAAAGTGGTGTGTCACAATGCCCCAAACACCACTCAACCACCAGGATTCTCTCCTCCCCTTCATGGTTCGCCACGCATGGCAAAAGTGGGTGGATGTTTAGATCCCATAGGAGGTAAACTGAAAGTACAGAACGTTCTCTGGGAGGTCCCTTCACCACATACAGGAATCCACCTTGAGGGGTCACTGATAATATTAGTAGTAGTTCTCATTAAGAAATGATGTACTGCTTTATTGAAACCTTCTGCACTTTGCTGCTTCATCACCCCCAGAAAGTATTAGGGAGGGTTCTTGTAGAGAAATGCTTTATTCAAAACTTCTGAATTTCTTTTTACTTCATTATAAACATTTATTGAAGGCTTATAGTGGTTTCAGACCTTAATACTTTTTTAGCCAAGTGTTTTCATTTTCTATTAAATTCATGTAGGTATTACATAGTATGCAACTGGATTGATTTGATGAATTTTGTGTAAAGCTACTCCAGGGCTATGTGTAGTAACTGTACCTAACTTTGAAGAAATAGACTAGAGGGAAGGCAGTTTACTCCAGGGCTATGTGTAGTAACTGTACCTAACTTTGAAGAAATAGACTAGAGGGAAGGCAGCTTACTCTAGGGCTGTGTATAGTAACTGTACCTAACTTTGAAGAAATAGACTAGAGGGAAGGCAGCTTACTCTAGGGCTGTGTATAGTAACTGTACCTAACTTTGAAGAAATAGACTAGAGGGAAGGCATCTTACTCCAGGGCTATGTGTAGTAACTGTACCTAACTTTGAAGATATAGACTAGAGGGAAGGCAGCTAGTCAACATCACTCACCACCAACTCTTGGGCTACATTTTATCAACAAATAGTAAAATTGACCATCACATTATAACACCCCTATTGCTGAAAGGGCAAGCATCCTACAACTTATAGATTACGAGTCGAACATTCTAATCACCAGGACATGGCAGGACACAATGTAAATAACGTGTCAAACTGTCATTCAAACCTTTATATACCATATGAATGGAGTCAAGCAATTTTTCTGTTTATTTAATAATTACATATTATATAAATATTTAGGAATTTACATACCTTATATTTTGTGCATTTACGTACAAACTTATGGACATTTCCCTTCACCTCTGGTGACACCTGGTGGTTGACATTCTTTTCTTGTACAGAACGTGATTGTTTTGTGTGTCTTTCAACTGGCTGTAAGATTTAATTTAGTTTCTTTCATTGCTACAGTTTATTATACATTGTTATAAAATTCATTGAAAAAAATCAAAGATTATTGACTGGAAAAGTTCATGATTATTCGGTCATACATAGAGTCAATAACATATCAATTTAATAGAACAAAATTCGGTCATACATAGAGTCAATAACATATCAATTTAATAAAACAAAATTTTTCTTTTATCAACATATAAGAAAAGAAAATACCAAAGAATCTCACTGATTAATAAAGAAGCTATAATTTGCATGATTTCACATACACATTTCAGACCCTACTACAGACTTTTTCTCAAAATTTGGCACCCACAATAATTGAAGTGAAAACTTATAATCAAACTTTTTTGACCCACAAATGGGATGTATGTGTGGTCACATTAAACTTACTGTTTTTCTTTATTAAAATTATCTCTTTGTGTTTTAAGGATTAACTTATTTACTTGAATTTAGATCAATTAATTTAAATTCAGCATATTGGTAGGTTATAAGTCAGGCTAAATTGTTATTGAAATATATTGTATTATCATTATTACATAAATATTATTAAAGTAAAGACTAGTTAGTTGTTACTTCCATATAATTAAAGATAAACTTAATTACTTTAGTGTAAGCATAAAGTAGTAATAAAAACTTTAATATATTTGATCATCAAACATTAGGTTAAACAGTGTTGCCAAGAGTATACCGGTATCCAGTATTTATTTCCAGGCACAAATACAGTGGTGAAGTCTAGTGTAGTAGTTAAGCATTCACAGTTTGTTAGGTTTGATAGGTGCAATGAGTGGGTTTCATTTTGTAACTCAAGACTGGTACATATTTCTAAAGAAGCTGGTAGTGAAGATATACAATTTATTTATAGAGTTTGTAGGTTGGAGGAGAAGTTGAAAGCTATCCTAATTAAAGTAGAGACAATAGATAAAGAGAAGTGTAAAGTGTGGGAAATTGCAGCAGTATTTCAGGAGGAGCTTAAGTTTTTACATGCAAGGATACATCAGCTAACAATGACTTTAAGGAAGTTAAAAAGAGTACTATTAGGGATAAAAGTAGTGAATTGAATTGTAATGAGCCTATTCTGCTGAGCACCAGATTTCAGACCCTGGTTTCTGAAGATGAGAAACTATTGTAGGGACCGAAAACACATGGGTCAGAGAAGGATGTGGATGG